GCTGCTACTACTACTACTACTACTACTACTAGTACTACTACTGCTACTACTAGTACTACTACTACTACTACTGCTACTGCTACTACTACTACTACTACTACTACTACTACTATTACCACTACTACTATTACCTCTACGACTGCTACCACAACAATATCAACAACAACAACAACAACAACAACTACTACTACTACTACTACTACTACTCCTACTACTACTACTACTACTACTACTACTTCTTCTTCTTCTTCTACACTGGCACTTATCCTGCTCCCACTGCTGCTGCTATTGCTACGGCCACTGCCGCTGCCACTGCCGCTGCCGCTGCCTTCGCCTGTGCCACTGCCACCGCTACTGTCACTGCCACTTCTACTGCTATTGCTGCTACTGCGACCAGAAGTTTACTAGTACTCCCCTTCTCCCTCCTCCTGCTGTTGCTGAGTCTAGTAGAAAGAGGAGGAGTAGAGGCAGTTGGAGAAGAAGTAATGTAGTAGCAGTAAAGTTGCTACTACTGCGAGGATTCCCAAACGCCCTAGGCAAGCAGGGTGAAGACCATCCTGTTGACATAGACCTGAAGTTGCACGCGGCGGGCGTGACATCCGGAATGAGTCTGACGCTGGTCCAGGAGGAGCGGTCACGGTCTGGCAGGGTAGGCTCTCTGCGTTGTGGATTTCGGGTGGAGCGCTTGGCGCTGCGCATTTCTTACAGCTTGCCTCGGCTGCGTAAAAGTCTAGGCTCGGGTCCTAAAGTGGTGTTCAGAATGAAGTTCATAATCACCAAAGCTTCGTTTCAGTTAGAACGTGCTGTCGGGAATGCCATGGAAAGAAGGAACCCTGCAAGACACATAAACAGTAGAGGATGGACCTTTGCTGCGTGGCTGCCCAAAGTAGACCACCTGACCCGGACATCCGAGTAGAGTAGAGACGAGTGCTTCGGCCCAGATCAGCAACGCCCTCATCCGAAGATCTAGTGCCCCCCGAGGAGCCTTCAACACGAGAGACTACTTGTATCAGGGTGGCTACGGACTGGGAAACCTGCATTAGTGTGTTAAACATTGGATTCGACCACTCGCGACCCCGTCATACCGCTCAGAAGCTGTTGCAGCCAGCAGGCCAGACAAGACGGACCCCCATCCAAGCTCAAGCACAGGAGTCTTCAACCGATAGCCCCACAGGGTGTAGACTTTAGAACCCACAAGCAAATCTTAAACCCCAAGTCCCTAACCCGAAAGTCCCAAATCCTAAACCCCGAGCCCTAAACCCAGAGTGCTAAACACAATCAGTTGCCAGGAGGGGGACCCCGAGGTCTGCGAGGCTCCTCTCAACGTGATCCTTTGGTGGATTGTGGGTTTGGGGTTTGGGGTTAAAAATGGAGAATGACAGACACAAGGGATCCCTTTGTAGGCTTCCTTTTCTTTGTTGGAGGGGGAGCCAGGGTGGCCTAGGGCCTAGGGTTTGCAACTGAGGGTAGGGGTTGTCCGTTGAGTTTGCAGCTCAGGGTCTGATATTTAGCAAGGATGCAGCCAGACTGTTGCTGCTTAGGTTTCAGGTGTCGACAGGCAGGGTTTGGTGGTTATTGATGTGAAGGGCCAGTGTCTCAGTTCATGCATGTTGGAATAGGTTCTTGTCGTGCGGCGTGTATGGCGCAATTGAAGATTCATGCATGGCCTCTGAGGGTTGTTTAAGGAGTTTGAGCAGAAAGGGTGTAAGGATATTTGTGGGTGCCAAAGCTGTGAGAGGTCATACTCCGTCCGTCCATCCATCGTCCGTTATACAAGCATGTAAGCATACCAACAGAACAGTGGGTATTGTTACATGCATCTATTTATATATACACATGTACACACATGCATGCGTGTAGGTATGTACGTATGTATGTATGTATGTATGTACGTATGTACGTATGTACGTATGTACATATGTACGTATTTACGTACATACAGACATGTTTACAAACCTGTATATGTATATGTATATATATATGGTATCCCCCCCCCCAGTTA